ATAGATAGATAGATAGATAGATAGATAGATAGATAGATAGATAGATAATCTGCAATTCATAATTATCTCTTTCATCCTGTTTGCAGCTGCAGTATTATAGAGCTGTATCTTCTAGCTGTCGTCATTCGTTACAGATTCTAGCAGGAATTCTGCAGTTGGGGAATGTGACTTTCTGCTCTTCCACCAACGAATTGCAGTCTTGTGATCTTGATGAGCAGTCTGAAGGTACTTGATATCATTTTTATGGGGTTTTGGATCGTGTCACAAATAGTAAGATACATGTAATTGTACATGACTAAAGCTAGTGTACAAACAATACGCCTGAAGTTAAAGTGCTCATATTTTACATTTACATTTGTGTTTCTTTCGAGATTTATTATCAAACCTCATAGTGAGTCCAACAATCCTATATTCCCCCCACCCAACATTTTAGACTTCCTACAGAGAGCTGCCGAGCTGCTGTGTGTTTCTGCAGACGAGCTTCAGACGTGTTTAAGAGTGAGGACTCTCAAGGCGGGGAGGCAAAGCGTGTTCAAACCCTGTTCCCAGGCGGAGTGCGGTGTCAGGAGAGACTGCCTGGCCAAAGTCATCTATGCCCAGTAAGAACAACATCGTCATGTAATGGAACAATTTGTCAGCCAGTCATGATGTTTTGGTCCATGTTCTTGTCTTCACCAGGTTATTTGAGTGGTTGGTTACATTCATAAACAACAGTATGTGTGCAGACAAATCCACGTGGTGCAATTTCATAGGTAAGAACATTCTTTCTTCTGACAGCACCAAAAACAATGTTCAGTTTTGTCTCCACCAGTTCCCACAGTCCTGTCCTCTGTGGTCTGCAGGAATCTTAGACGTGTACGGCTTTGAGTGTTTTCAGAACAACAACTTGGAGCAGCTGTGCATCAACTACGCCAATGAGAAACTCCAGCAGCACTTTGTGGCTCATTATCTCCGAGCTCAGCAGGTAGACTGCTATTGACTTCCATTTTTACGCTGATATCAGCAGGGTGCTGATCTGAATGTGCTCTCAGTGTGACAACCTCATCCTGGGGGTTTCTTCTGAATTTAGTTACTGATGAAGACAGCGTCTGTTCTAAATATGTCAAATAAATGTTACATTTGAATTATTATTGTTATTTGCTGTTGCTCTTAGGAGGAATACGTGTCAGAGGGTTTGGAGTGGTCTTTTGTCAAATATCAAGACAATCAGACCTGTTTGGATCTTATCGAGAGAAACCCTGTCGGCGTGTTTTCTCTTCTTAATGAGGCATGAAGTCTGTTTTTGTACAAATAATTTTCCCTCTTATTTTAAAATCTGTTTTGTAACAGATTGACAGTGACTTTCTTACACATATTAATGTATTTTAAACATCTTGTATGTCTCTCCAGTAAGTGAACGTTATTTTGCTTATTATAAAGGAGAGTCGTCTCAACAGAGCCTCAGATGCTTCAACTCTGAGGGTTCGTTTGGAGAAGGAGCTTTGCAATAATGCCAACATCAGCTGGGACAGGCTCAGCAAGGTGCCACACTTCACTGTGGCTCATTATGCAGGCAAAGTTAACTACCAGATAGAGGGCATGGTGGAGAAAAACAAGGTAAGAAATGCTGTTAACCTGTGGTGCAGATAGGTTTGCCTCTAGGAATGCACCAGTACGTGTATTCATCCTGAACTGTCACAGACAGGCTCAAGTTTTCTTTTTTAAATTTGTTTACTGCCATGGTAAAGCTATTTAAGCTACTTCACAGCTATCTTCATATAAGACAGTGATGTGTGCTGTGCTGCGGTGGTAAAACCCACAGCAGGGAGGCAGTAGACTGTTTGTTGGGAGATGGAAAATGTTGGAAGTAGCTTGTTTTTCCATCTTCAGTTTGAATGTTGAGAGACTTACAGGAGAATAATAATAAAAAAAAACACAAATGAAGGTTGCAGAGGGATTAATCTGTCAGAGGAAACAACAAACTCCACAGGGTGTGTGTGTTTCCTTCTAAGTGGATGTGCAGAGGTGTGTGACAGACGTGTCCTCCAGGTTTGATGTGTTCAGGTGTTGTTCTGTGCCTTGAGTGCACTTGCTTCCTTCCTATCAATCTACCTGCCTACCTTGCTTCCTTCCTTCCTTGCTTCCTTCCTATCTACCTGTCACGGTCAGCGGCCCCCGCTGCCCCCCCATCTGCCAAGCCTCTGCCACCTCCTTCAAGCTGCAACCAGAAACCAACATTTATATCTTCAAACTATCATCCCACAGTCTTAATCATTTCCTTCTATTTCAAGTTTCTGTCTCTGTCTGCTTTTTATATTTTTTATTGTTCTGCTTTGTGTGTG